ACCATCAACACCACCTATCAATAATTATATTTCTCTGGTAATAATATTCATTGTGCAGCGCACAGCACAGAAAGGGCCACGATTTGTCGCCATGAGCAGACCACGCGAAATACCCCCGGAGTGATGGAAGCCGATACATCGACGCCACGGTTGACTCAAAGTCACCATATCCCAACTTGCTTCTAGAAGCTCGCACAACGGACCCCATCGTGTTAGCTACGAATCGGCAAGACCATGAAGATTGCTGCTCTCGCCGTTGCCACTGCCATCGCTGTCACGAGCGTTGCTGCTGCTGATCAGCCCGCTCTTCGTTCGGGTACTACGCCTACCGAGGTGAATCCTACTGCGGGGAAGAGTGCTGAAGGAAAGAAGAAGGAATTCTGGGGATGGGGAGGACCTTGGGGTGGATGTTGTGGCATGGGCGGCTGGGGTGGAGGCTGGGGAGGTGGCTGGGGTGGTCCCGGTGGCTGGGGAGGCTGGGGTGGTGCCGGTGGCTGGGGGTGGTAGATGGTACCAAGGATTAATGAAGAGCGTAAAGTGTGAGCTGCAGGCAAAGATTCTCTTCTTCGGCCATCATGTTTGAGCTGCTCCGCTTGCTATCAATCGGGTTATCTGCAATGCTCGGTTTATTTGGATCTCTTGACTGGCACTCTCAAACAAATCAAGAATGAAATGCGATGAAAGTCTTGCGGTTATGCTACTTTTTTTTCTTCTATTATGTTGTCACTTACCCTCTCTATAGAGCAAGTGATGCGGATCACCTCAAACTCAGGGATCACGCGGCCCCAGTATAGAACTTTGCTTTTAGCATTCGCTTCATCATGTCTTGCTTACAAGTAATGCCACTTTAGAGTATCTTCAGGAGTGTAGCAAAACAACAAAAAAATGAGCGCCAACTCTAGAAGATCATGCGTACTGAAACAACCTAAGAGGCGCTAGCTTGTAAGCGTTTGCAAAACCCACCCAATATCCCATATTTTAATGACCTGGGATGATTGATTACCTATCATTGTCATAAAACTGGGTTGGGATGGTAAAAAAATCTTTTCTGAGCTTTCATACTCTAATGTGCAATTCTTTATTGCTCATTTTATAATGTTGCTCGAAGGTAACCCCTTGTTTTTTTGTCATTGATCCTGGTAACTCAAGGGGGATTTTTTTGCGTAGGCCGTTGCGGTATGGCGAAGATGCTGCTAAGACTGCTGGCTGCAGCGCTGTGTCTGGCCACCTCCAACGCGCTTTACGCCGACCAAGCCGGTGAATTCGACTGGAACACCGAGAACGTAGGACGTGTGCAGGCCGTGGCCTTCGGGGGCTCCGTGAGTCGCGGGCCACACTCGGTCGTGTCTAGAGGCACCACACGCGCCGTATACGTAGCCTCGGACGAACGTTCGCGCGCGTTGGCGCGTCTGGACTCCAAAACCGGCGAGATCCAGTGGCGCCGCGTGTTTGTCGAAGGTTAGGACGGAAATCCTGGTAAAATTATGATGAAAAGGTGACAATGATGTGGATATGCTAATGTAGGGGATGCCATCAACGATATTCAGCTGACGAACTACGGTCTACTGTCAGTTTCGGGGTACGTACGCTACGATAGTATTCTTATTGAGAGTAGTAACAATGAATTAATCTCCGTATTGTAGAAATGGACGCAACGTGAGACTTTGGGACTTGAACACGGGCGTGTTGCTGTGGGACGAAGTGACCAACAAGGGTCCAGCTCCGAAAGACGCCGTATTCGGCGGTCTCTTCTCTCTGGACGGTGATCACTCGGTGGTGTTAACATCCTCCAGTGTAGCAATGGTCGGCGTAAGAGACGGTCAGGTGAAGGTGCAGACGCTTCCTGAGGACTTCACCAAGGCAGCGGTGGACGCTGCTGAGTTGTCGTGGCAAGTGGGGTCGGACAACACAGCTCTATTTGTTATGGCAGGTAATCAAATGCTGGAGTATGAGCTGGCATCGGGACGTGCAGTGAACCAGTTTAAACGCCCAGAGATTAAGGAAGCAGACAAGGGCGACGTACAGGCCACTACAGTGCTACGTCGTGACAGTGAGGAAGGCAAAACAGCTGCAGTCACGCTCACGAAGGACCAGCTACTGCTACAGGGACTAGAGAACAAGAAGGACTCGTCGGAGGTCGCTCTGAAGTCGCTCAAGCTGGATGGGGACAAGGTTGTGGCTATTGACGCCAGTATTTCGAACTCTCTGGTGCTGGTTCTTGCCTCTGGCAAGCGTGCTATCCTGAAGATTACGAGTGCTTTGACGGTGGAGGTCGCTGCATTTGTGGCTGCTGAAGGAGCTCTGATGGAGTCAGTCACAAACGACGCAGTGCTCTTCCACGCTGCCGCTAAGAGCACGGACAGCAAGGCACAGATGACGTCGTATACAGTGGACAAAAGTCTGACGCCGGTCTCGTGGGAGGCGGAGCTGGACTTGGCTTCTTTCGGTGGCGATGTTTCCCGTGCGTTTGTTGGCTGTCCGAACACGAAGAAAGACTCGGTTCCAACGTGCCATGCTGTGCTGGTTCTCAAGGACGACGCGTTGATCATGACGTCTAATGAGGAAGAGGCGGATGCTAACAACACGAATGTCCAGTGGGTGCGCGAGGAGTCTCTGGCCAACATTAAGCGAGTGCGTTGGGTCACCCCCGCAGAGACGGAGATCGAGAAGCAGGCTTTGAAGAGAATCCCTTCCTTTATGGAGGAGCTGGAGCTCGAGATGAAACATCTTCAACAGCTGGTGGAGAAGGTCAAGACGCTGTTTGACGAGACCTCTCGTCAACGTGGCGTCGATAGATCTCGTGCGGCACGGAAGGAACCGCCGAATGCTCATCTGTTCGGCTTCTCCAAGTACATTATGGCTCTTACGACGAGTGGCAAGCTGTTTGCTATCCGTGCTGAGGCCAGTACTGTGGCGTGGTCTGCCTTCGTGGGTCCAGAGTATCAGCTCTTTGTGACGCGTGACCACCCTGCTCTTGGCTCTGGAGCTGAACTGTTGCTGGTATCCAACTCGACGGAGCTCGTGTGGCTTGACGGCGATGACGGTCACCAAGTGGATAAAGCAAGTGCTGTCGCCGCGTCTGGTGCGTCGTGGGTGGTTGTACTGCCCAAGCGGAGGCACCTGACGACGGATGAAGAGCCGACGGCACGTCGGACTGTTGCTGTGATTTCTGAGAGCTCGCTGAAGGTGTCGCTGTACCCGAAGGAGACGGCAGACTTTGCTCACCCAGAGCTGAACCACTTCTACTTCTACCGCTACGACGAGACCTCGAAGGTGCTTCGTGGTTACTTTCTCGAGAATGAGGGAGACGCCAAGATAACGGACTACCGAGCTCGTGAGGCGTGGTCGATCGTGCTGCCTCGTGAGCAACAGGTGATTGCTACGTCTCACCACCACGGTCACTCGGTCGTGGACTCTGCCGTGACTATCACTGGCGATGACTCGCTCTTGATCAAGTACCTGAACCCGAATCTGTTTGGCCTTGCTACTATTGCTACAGAGCCTTCGGAAGGTGACAGCGAGGCCGCTTCTGTGCTTCGCGTGAGTCTGATTGACACTGTGGCGGGACGTATCATCCATCGCGCACGTCATCCGCATGCCACGGGTCCCGTCCGCATGGTACAGAGCGAGAACTGGCTCGTGTATTCGTATTGGAACTCGAAGGAGAAACGCACCGAGATGGTGTCGTTGTCGCTGTTCGACGGTGCGGTGGGAATGCACTCGCTGAACCCGTGGAAACGTCCGTCCTGGACTTCCACACGCTCGTCATTCGACTCGAAGGCTCCGTTTGTGCTGCAGAAGAGCTTCATCTACCCGACCAAGATCACGGTAAGTGCCTTTGCGTTTCTCCTGTTGAATTATTGTTTCTCATTCTGTTACCATGCTGCTGTTGTAGTCCCTGGGAGTGACGGTGACAGCTCATGGCATCACGCCTCAGTCCGTCTTGGTCGGCATGGAGACTGGCCAGATCTTCAAGTTAGCTCGCAACTTTATCGACCCGCGTCAACCCGAGAAGCCGCTGACGCCCGAGGAGCAGGCAGAGGGTTTAATGATGTACTCTCCTCTCGTGCCTGTGTACAACCGCCCACAAGCCATGCTGACGTACAACCGCACGGTAGAGAACCTCAACTCCATCAGCACAGCCGCAGCGGAACTCGAGTCCACCACGTTGGTGTTCGCCCACGGCCTCGACATGTTCTACGTTCGGATGACGCCAGCCAAGTCGTTCGACCTACTTCCGTCCGACTTTAACCACGAGATGCTCATCCTGCTGTGCTTGACGTTCCTCGCTGTGACCTTCGGCACGAAGGCTCTGGCGCAACGTAAGGCTCTGCAATCGGCCTGGAAGTGAGCAAGAGAGTCCAGTTAGTTTGAAAGAAGAAGACGCTACAATAGATCTCTTCTCTTTTAGTTGACAAGACTTGTTATCGCTGCTGCTTACAAAAACAAATCGGTGATCTAAGCAGCTCAATTTCTCAATGTCCTCCAGCCGCACTGCGGAACGACCAGTGGTTGGGACGTCGACCGTCCAGACGCGCCTTGCGGTCGGCACGCTGCAACACCTCAAGCTTCACCTTCCACTCCTGCGATTCGTCCAAGTCGCCTGCTGCCAGGTAATGCAGATCCTCGCGGTATCTTGAGTCGGACGCTAGAATCCTGTCCTCAGGGTATGGCACCATGTAGCCACTCTGGAAGCTGTTGATACTCCAGTACGTCTTGTTGCCAAAGACGAGGTCATGCAGCCAGGAACCCGAGACGTCACAGATCTCACGTGGAGGAGACGCCGAAGTGTCCAGGATGACACCACGCAGCGAGTCTGTCGGCGTCTTGGAGCTCGAAAACATTCCGCCCATACCAGACTTTGCATCGGGATTGAGGCGCAACTCACACTGCAGACGGTTCTTCTTGTCTTTGAACACCATGTTGCCCATAATGTCAACCGTACGGTCTCCCCACAATAGCCCACCGATCTGCAGGTAAGGTAAATTGTACTCGATCGTAGTTCCGGGAAGACCCTCAGTGTCAGGGAACGTGACGCGCACTGGTCCCTTGTTTGTGTTAAGCATGGCGTTGGATTTCACGCTCATACTGGCATGCCAGAGCACGAAACCGGCGATAGAATACTTCTCACCGGTAAACTGGAAGTTACTGATTGGCGGGTGGTGGCTTGTGTGCTCGCAACTCACGTCCGTTCCATCGTTCAGTGTCGACTGGAACGTTTCACCCAAGATGGGGTTAAATGGCTTCAGCTGTCCGATACTGTGGTGCAGACCGGCCACGGCGAATGAAATGACGTACTTAAAGCGTTCCAGCGCATCATTCTGCGCGTACGCAGTGTTCAGGAACGTCGGTGCGTACAGCATCAAGTCGCACACACGCTCCAGATTGGTTCGAGGTTCGAAAATACGCACAGGAAGCGACAGACTCACAGCCGACTTGCCCTCTAAGATCTTGGCTCCTGCAGACTTGATCACATCCTTCACTACGCCACCTTGTTTCTTGGCAATCTCCTTGTCGATCAGCTTCAGACCACCGCTAGGCAGAGGCATCATGCCACGCATGTAAGTCTTCGGGTGGAAGATCGTGGATAACTCTCCGTCAGCAAATCCTCCAAGACCACTGGCTTCACTGGCGTCTTCGTATCCGACGCTGCGAGTCTCGTACTCTCCTTCCCCATCATCGTCCAGACCGCCACCGAATCCGAGCTCTGATCCACATAGTTGCGCTTGGTTCACGTACTCACTGAGGACAGATACACAGTCCAAACGAGAGAGCAGGAAGCTCTGACGCGTGGCGGGTGACAGCCATCCCTTCACATCCAAATCAGTAATGTAAGTGGCCAGTGTAGCATGGCCTGAGTCCACAGGCTCTAGCAGCCAGCCGCTCAGGCCAACGTGTGCACGCACAGAGCCCGAGCTAATCGGTTTAAGCTCGTTAACTACCGACTTCTCCAGGATAAGCACCACAGATTTCCCCATCTCGTCCTCCGACTTATCGTCACTCGAATCCTGCGAATCAGGCGCAGCAGACTCGCGCACATGACGAAGAAGTACCAGGTCACGTGGTGTCGTCAACGTACTGTAGTCGATACTACTCACAATGCCTCCAACGGCTGCTGCGTACACCATCGCCGTGAGAAGCGCCTCCCACGTAGAAGCACCCGAGAAGAGAGCAGCACACAAGGCACAGGCGGTAGCAGCCACATGCGGCGCCACGAAAGGCTTGGTCTGTTGGATCTGAGCAAAGCTGCCACTCGACAAATGCACAAGGTCCGTCGCGTCGTCGAAAGTGGCTACATGGGCCGAGTGTGGGAAGTGCACGTCCCACTCGGCTCGACGCGCGTGGTCGGCCAGTAGAATGGCTGCAACTTCTGACGACACAGGCAGCACCACGCTAGCACGCGCATACTGTTTTCCAGAAGTGGAGTCTGTTCCAATGCTGCGTAGAACTCCATTCACTGCGCCAAGCGGACGGAATGCCACGTGGTTACGGATCGAGGAGCCAGTTGAGTTGTGCCCAAGCAGCGCTTCCAGCACGTCCAGGCCATGAGAGAGCTCGTTCTCCAGTGAAATCGTCGTGGGTAGACGTTGCGTCTTGGTACGATGAGGGCGGTGCTGGTGATGCTGGTGCGAAGGCGGCGCTGGAGTGCTGGCGGCGTTGCTGACTGAGGACGGAGCCGACGTCAGTCTCGTCGTACGCTTGTTATCTCCATTAGTAGCCGAAGCGTTCGAAGTTCCCACTGACGACGCCGATTTGAGTGTAACTGCGCGAGCCTGTGAAGGACCCAGCGACGCCGCGCGCTTGAGATGAGCGCGACTGTCCTCATCGTCAGAGGACGATGGCGCGGTCTGGAGTCTGTGCTGCTTTCTGCTGTTATTCTGCGACGATGCCTGTGCATTGGACTCACTTGTGCCGTTGTTGACACGAGCTACAGCCACGCGAAGCACATCCAACCACTGGGTTACGACAATGCCTTCCTCTGCCGACAGGCAGTACATGATGCCAGTAGCTGGATCGGTCAGGTAGATACGGGGCGAGTTCCACGTCTCGCTCAGTCCACCGTCCTGTACGGTACAGCCTTCCAAGGGGATCACAGCGTTGGGTTTGCGATCTTTCCTTGAGATGTAGTAAGACAGGGTGCGGCCGTCGCATACAAACCAGCGGCGTTTCCAGCCTTTGAGTCGCTGGCCTTTCTTCTGTAGGAAACCCTCTTTCATGTAGCGAGGATCGTAGTCGGGCATGGCCTCCACGGGCACCCGCTCGGGCCACTAGTAGAGCGTCATGAAAGAGTTAGGGTCTGGGAAGTTTGAACTAGGGCTTCCAATAGCAGGCTTTTACGTACGTCATTGTTGACAAGGTCGTTGAAGCGCTGTTGCGCGTCCTGAAGCGCTTGCATGGCTCGGTCCCGCTTGCGTTCGCGAGCTGCTGCCCCCGCCTCGCCGTTGGCGCTGCCGTGTCTGTGGCCTCTCGGTTCCTTCGTTGTGGGCGTCTGCGCCTCGTTGAGATCCACGAGCTGCGTCGGGAGTCTCGACACACGCGCGCGAGGGGAAAGAGGCGGAGTGACGCGGACACTCGAGCAAAAGCTGCGGATTGAGGCCGGAATAACCAGCCGGGAAGGAGCTGTCCGGCAAAAAGAGTCCCGTCTCCGATAGAGATGAAAGCCTCTCGTGTCACTTAAAGTGACTCACTTAAGTGACTCACTTTGCGATTGGACAGCGACAAGATGAAGCCCCAAAGTTGCAAACAACCTCTGATAACTAGTGCTCTTCCACTGAAAGATGAATATAGTGATAAAGGTCACATTGAAATAAAGACAGGTTTGTAAGCAAAAAGCACCAATTACCACTTCGATATCAAGACAAACAGGTCCATATGTCCTACTTGAAGACCCTGATGTTGCAACATGTAGCACCACGAAGAGACACGAGCTAAAAAAGAGCGTGCGTCGCGGCCGGGATACTACAACAGCCGACACCTCGAAGTCACACTGTTTGCCTTCCCGAGACACTGCTGGACGTGTATCCATCGCTGACGTGTCAACCCAGAGACGAACCAAGGGCAAGCAGCATGAGCACTGCCACGTATCAGGTCCGTCGCCACCAGGTCGTTGTGTCTTTACGCTGCTATTAACTCCTCTGTCTCCAGACGCCTGACTCAAAGAAGGAGGAGTTCCGGAAGTATCTGGAGAAAAGCGGTGTAGTAGATGCGCTGACTAAAGTACTAGTGGGTCTCTACGAGGAAGCGGATAAGCCGCCAAACGCCGTGGACTACGTCAAGCGCTTCATGGGCGCACCCACCGGTATCGACGTCGATGCGCTGCGAGCTGAGAACGAGGAGCTAAAGAAGAAGAATGCAGAACTTATCAAGACCATCGAGGAGCTCAATAAACGCGTAAGGAAGTCAGCGTTACCATGATGATGAAGGCAAGAGATGCTCACGTGTTGTTTTGTGTTGACAGCTCACGACCGAGGAGGAGGAAGAGGAAACCTAACTGCAGGTACAAGCTCAACATGAAGGCCGCAGTCGTATCTATTGCTCCATGATCACTTCAAAATCCACTCTTCATTGCCTCCATTCTGTCTGCTATCCATTGTCGAACACTTAGGTGCACTGCGCCAAGAGCTCCGTGATGTTGTCCTGCACCGACTGCTTCTGGCGGTTCAGGTAGTTCTTACGTGCCTCATAAGACGAGACCTGCTCATCCACGTGTTTCTCATCGCTCTTCATAGTGGCGACGTTCTCTTCGCTGTCCGTTTGCAGAAACATCTTACCAATACTGCGGTATGTCTTGGTGCGCTCAGGCAAGTCGGCCATCTCACGCTCGACGAGCGCCAGACGCTTCTTTTGCCGACTGTAGGCTGCGAGCTTGGCCTCGATCTGTTCTAACTCGCGCTGGATCTTCTGGAACTGCGGCTGCAGCTCCTGTAGCTCCTTAGCAATATGCATAGGCACTTGGCGGCCTCCGCCCTGGGTCGAGGCAGCGCTTTTGGGCGCCACCTCTTGGTTCAACTGGCGCAGCAGCTTCTTAATACCCGGCACCTTGTCTGGGTCCGTGGCCGAAGTCTGCGCTGTCTTGAGCGTCTCAATGGCCTCTTGCTTGCGGCCCAACTGCTGCTGCGCATTCGCTAGGCGGTGGTATCCCTTAGCGAACTTGGGGTTCCGCTTGACGCACTCCTGGGCGTCCTTCTCGGCCAATTCCCACTTTCCCACGGCGCCGTAGGCAGCACTGCGGTTCGAGTAGTAGACATAATTGTCCGGGTCCAGACGAATGGCCTGCAATTGTAGATATTGAGTAACGAGGAGCAGTTGATCAATTATTGTACGGACTGGCAAACCTCTGAGTAGCACTCGACAGCCTTGTCAAAATTCTTCTCGTTAAACTCCTCATTGCCGAGCCTGTCTTAGCGGGTACAAGAAAGCAGAGATGGTGCGTGAGTAGAAGCACTAACGAGGCGCAAGTGTATGTCAGGGCCACGCACGTCTTCTGCGCCTCAGCGGCGTCGTGTACAGAGCTCATTGCAGAGGATCTTCTTGTCACCAGAGGAGCAACGACCTTGGAGAACGAATAATTGGTTTTATAACGTTTGGAAAGCAACTGTAGTAATTAAGTCAATAAAAACCAGCAGATTATTCACCAACATGTATTAATATTTCAGAGTTTTATTACCAGGCATCGGCGAATACGCAAATTTTTCATTAACGGTACAGTTGTGCACCTCCAATTCGGCAGGGCGAACCATATCAACAGTGCCAGGGCGTTAGTGCACAACGTAAAGCAAAAAAGCAAAGGCACTCGTTGCTGCACCCAACTGGAAAATTTGAGACGAGACATTTGCTACCAAACGATGCCCAACCGACCTTATTGCAACCATGAGATGACCATCTCGCACCCAAATTCGACACGAATGGTAACCAACTAAAAAAGCTAGCCTCGCGTTGTATACACATCTCCGGATGTAGAGTTTTTAAGTAAGAGAGCCAGACCACTTGAGATGCGCGCCGAGGCAGTTTCTGCGGAGGACCCAGCGCAAGACTGTCATGTCGTAGTTGTACTGTATTTAGAGCATCTTCACCCAAAGCTCGCTGTCTCTATCACTAAACCGACATTTGGCGCGGCGAAACAAATAAATTTCAAGTTAAGCGAGGCTTGTACACCCATGACACGCTAAAGTGATCTTCAAATTTGAACAGTCGTCGAAGTTCTTCGCAAACTGCAGGGAGAACTATGGATTGGAGACAGCGTATTCAACCAGTCCTTGCTATCCTACACGATGAGGTCAACGACGACTACGGGGACGATGAAGTAGCAGCTGTAGCCGGCGTTTGTGTTGCTGTGGCTGCAGGGACGGAGCCACCGGCTAAGAAACAAAGAGGGGGGTCGCAGCCTGGAAAAAGACCAAATATTGACCGTGGACGTGCTGCTGCGGGCCAGCTACTGTACACAGACTACTTTGCTCCGAGACCTCTGTTTCCAGAAGCTCTGTTTCGTCGTCGTTTTCGAATGTCTCGTCGTTTGTTTCATCGAGTCGTCGAAAAGGTAGCTGTGGCTGACACTTATTTCACACAACGGCCGGATGCACGAGGTGTTCTTGGCTTTTCACCCCGTCAAAAAGTTACTGCTGCGCTGCGCATGCTTTGCTACGGAATAGCTGCCGACGCACAGATGAATACATCCGCATTGCAGAATCTACTGCTATGGAGAGTCTAAAGCGCTTTGCAAAGGCAGTGATCAAGTGCTTTGGTGAGGAGTACCTACGGTAACCTACTGCTAACGATATTGCCCGCCACACTGCCATCAATGCCAGCCGTGGTTTTCCTGGTATGTTCGGGTCGCTGGATTGTACTCACTGGATCTGGAAAAATTGCCCTTCGGGTTGGCACAGTATGTTTCAAGACCGTGACGGAAACGTTTCTATGATTATGGAGGCGGTCGCTACGAAAGACTTATAGATTTGGCATTCATTTGTAGGTCTTCCTGGATCTAACAATGACATCAATGTAGTGGATAGGTCCCCACTGATTGTAAACTGGCTTAAAGGGAGCGCTCCCAATTTCGAGTTCGAGGTCATGGGAACAAATACAGCATGGCCTACTTGTTGTGCGACGGTATTTACCCAAATTGGTCTGTGTTTGTGAAGTCGATTAGACAACCCTATACACCGAAAGAGAAGCATTACGCTGGCGTTCAAGAAAGTGTTAGAAAGGATGTGGAACGTTGTTTTGGTGTTTTGAAGGGAAGGTTCGGTATACTAGCACAACCAGCACGTTTGTGGGATGATGATATCCTTCGTATTGTATGGCGATGCTGCGTTGCTCTTCATAATATGATAATCGAGGACGAGCGCGACGAAGACGAGGACCCTTACATACAATCAGTAGAAACTCTGTCTGGTGCGCAAAGTATACTTCTCTTCGATGATCTACTCGCAGGTATCTCCCGCATACAAAACCACGCTGCTCACGCCCAGCTGCAAAATGAAATTGTTGAGCATCAATGGAATATCAGGTAGAACGGTAAAAGCAAAACACTCTTCTTACCAATGTAACACTGTGAAAAAAAAACTAAGCAGTTGCAGTATAAACGCCGAGCGCTGTATCATCTTGATCATCACAGCCGTCACCACTCCTATCAAGTACTGAGACTTCCGCTACTACAGTTTCTCTAGACGACGCATGGGATCTCTCAAGTCTTCCAAGAACTTGACGACGATGCAGCTCAAAGAAGCGCCGAGAGTCAGGGTCCAATTCGTCAAGACATACTGTAAACAATGCCACGTCACAAGCGTCTTGAATGGCGCGTGCTCGTTTCTTGCTTGCCGCTGCAATCTCTGCGTTTGCCTTGGCCAATTCTGCAATTGAGCTGGAGGTGGAGGCAACTGCCTTTGCTTCCTCCTTTGATGTCTTTCTGCCTTGGGGCGCGCGCCACGAGCCGTACTCTCGCTATTAATTGCGTCACCCCCCGTTGTTGTGCCTTGACTATTACGAACGGAAGTCCACAGCGGTTCGCTGCGCAGGATTCGCCAGCAATGCAGTAGCTTGAACGGCTTGGTCGCTGTCACGCCATCGCGATCCTCCATCCTCATGTAGATCTGCTGTGCGCCTTGGATCTCGTCTCCAAAGCTCGCTCCAGACCGGCGCTCTACCTTGTCCATCGCTGCCGAGAAAGCTTAGCTTGGCCAGAGATCTTCGACCACTTGCACTCCAACGAAAGAATTTCTCTCACTACCGATTCTGCTGACCGAGCAGCCGTGAAATGCTCGTGGATGCGTTTCCAGAACGTAGCAGAACTTTGGTCTGTCCCCGTTCTCGGGTCCTCACTAATCTTCAGGTACGACATGCATAGCTGGATCTCCTCCTCCTCAACAAAGTTAGATTCGCGAGGCATCGATGCTCTTAATGCGACTTTGCCGCTCAAAGTTTCTGTGTTCTGCGGCTGTTCAGATAGCGAGGAGCTCGCGATCCTCGCCAAACGGGGACGCATTTGGCGCGAAGAGACGCAATTTGGCGAGGGATCGCAGCGTCGATAGCGATAGAGATGACCCAGTGGGAGATAAATAACTGGTCCACGTAATTTTCGCGCCAAATCGCTTTAGCGATAGCGATGGCGCGTTCTGGTGGAGATGCTCTTAGCTAGCATGTCCAACCACAGCAAAAATTAGCAAGAAAATCGCTATCTTCCAGACGTAACAACACAGAGCTGGCAAGCATATAAAGAAGAACTACATTGAGATTGTTCGCTACATCTTCGAATCCGGTAGATCTCGCTACAACTAGAAACATAAGCGCAGGTAGCGGTATCTCATGCACTGCAACGTCTTCTTGTCGAGAAGCCCGACTTGATCGGCACCACAAAAGTTTTCGAACGCAACAAGAACGTAAATACCGCAGTTGCAGTTGTCTGTACTCCTAGTCCCGATTCGAAATTGCGCACACGAATGCTATGTCCAACAGTCCCCGGAAGAAGCGCTATTATCTTCTGAGCCACGGATCGAACGCTAACAAGATACGACGATGCGCTGCTATCGTAGATGTAGACTTCAAAGATAAAAAGATTGATGCGCTGCTATCGTAGATGTAGGCTTCAAAGATAAAAAGATTCAAAGATAAAAAGATTCGCACTATTTCATTCGGCCTTATCAGGGCTTGCTGGCAGGTAGCTGAGAAATCTCGTGAGCAATAGGGGGCTTTACCTTGGTAAAAAATGAGAAGAGCTTGAACTGCATGACTTTGTCAGCAGTAGACACATAGCTCGCATCTCCGACAAGGATTTCATCAAGTGTACCGAGATGCATCTTTTTTCTGGTCATCTCCATGTCTTCTTGTACCAGCGTCGTTATTAGCTTCCGTTTGCCCTTGACAGCTTTCAGATTTTGCTTGGGGCGCCCCTTTGACTTTGGCGGACTTTGAAGCTCGAACTCGACGTTATCATCATCGATGTCGATGGGGCGTTGGTGTCCACCAATAACTGGTGATCCGGTACGTATACTTAGATGATCAGATCCAGCAGCGCTTGGTAACCCAAGATCCGGCCTTTTTTGCATGCCCACGCGGGTCTCTGTGCCCAACTCAGTCACTAGTTGGGTTTCGGTGCCCAAATGACTGCCCAAATCAACGCTAATCAATCCCATCTGAGTACCAACTCACGCTAATAAATATCATCTGAGTACCAACTCAAACCAATCACATACATGAGCTTCACAGTCAAGTGCCCTCGACTCCTGGCGTTTTCTATTTCCTTGGCCTCGCGATTTGTACTTGCCTGCGTGGGTACACACTATTGTCTTGCTGTAGTGTACCCAACTTTCTGGGATCAACGGAGCCGAACTGCTCGCCGCCTTAATTTTGCTGTTCCGACGGGTAACCGTGTTATTTGTGCGGACACGGAAGCTCTACAAGAACATAACGGGAGAATGACAGCATTGCAACGATGTCTGATACTCAAATGAAAAGCGATACATACCTGGTAGGTTTGAGTTTCATACTCCCTCAGATACCAGTGAAAATCTTCCCACGAATCAAACTGTGTACGCTGGAGAGGGACAGCTACAAAACTGCTGTTGATGTCGCTGTCATCGTCCTGCCCGGATCTGGAGCTGTCGGACCGTCCGAACGCTTGGCGCGACGACGTCATGCTGCTGGATCTGGAACTCTCGTACCGTTCAGACGTTCCGGTCATAGATGCAATGCTGCTCCTTGTACTCATTGGACTCGAAGCAGACTCCACCCACTCCTCATCACTCAGATCACCCTTCCCTGAAGCCGATCTCTCACTGCCGGAGCTGCTTTGCGATGCGCAGACGGTAGGCCTTGGCGGCATCACTCGCAAGTCCATTTCTCCGGCTGCAGATTTTCGATTTGGACCTCCCCCTAAAATCAGTGGCTGACGGCGTGTGTATACACTATACAGCCTGTCGGATGCCGTCGAGGGGCTAGTGGTAAAAGTCTGGCCTCAACACGACAACCCAGTTGGGTGCAGGACACACTCTCAGAAACAAACGCAAATCCAGTACACTGATATTTCATTTGTTAATTCAGTACAACATTTACGCCAATCTTCTGCATAATCTTGGCGTCAGACGCGCGAATCGCGGGCGCGCAACAGCGCTTCCGGTCGCGATAGGCGTCCGGCAAGGCGACAACGTCCGCCGGCCGCTTAAGAATACTCTGGATGGTAGTGCGCTTCTCTGCTTGGGGGGGGGGGTCTTAAAGCGCTCCGTTGCCCAACGAGCAAGTTCGGAGTGAGAGCATGCAGGATCTGACTTGTGCTTCTCGCACAAAGACTGCTTTTGTGGGACATGTAGAAGGAAGGGCTATGTCCCATTGTCTTTGGTGGTAAAAATCAAAGTATGTGTTTGTATGAAGACGTCCGATCCAAAATTTAAAATCAGATCGATGCGGCGTGTCATCCCTCGGCGAGGAGGGGAAAACCGTTGAGGTTAATTGCTAGGGTGGTGAGGGGCAAAGGTAATTGCGCATCTGATTCGCGTAATCATAAAATCTGGCAGGGTATCGACTGATACCGGTGCCGAATTGGAGGTGCACGACTGTATGTCGTAGCGGGGCTCTTTAGAAATTACAAGTAAAGCGATTGAGCCCTGATGCAGCTCGGCGGGCACCGTTCAACTTCAACTCTCTCCCTAAGGATCGAATAGCTCTCCCACAACCGCAGCGACGAAGTACGGTGTTTGAATGCACTTTAATTGGTCAAATATGTAGCGAATAGAAAATGTTCAAATATCCTACTTCTTATGAAAACGAAATGAGTAAGCACATTGCCGAGGGATGTTAATGGCGAGGAGGACGCGTGGCCGCGCCCGCTTTGAAAGGCCTCCTCACTTTAAAACTGACGGCCTATTACATAGAGCTTAATATTTCAGATACGTACCGAGACTAAGGCCCATGGCTAAAGGACACAATAGGAGTGCCCAGGTCCTGGGGCTGGAAAAGTTTCATGGGGAGGACTACACCATGTGGCGAGACACGGTGCTAACGCACATAGAGACGCTGGATGAGAAATACCAGCGAGGGTTGCTGAGAAAGGACCAGCCTGAGGCTACGGTTGCATGATGGACTTCCTTGAGGGTACGCCTGAGAAACCCGTCATTTCGATAGAGGGAAATATTTCTTAAGAGGAGGCGAAGCGCAAGCGTTGGCCCCACCAACACTGGACTAGGGCTCGGTCCGAGCTGCTAAACTTATTCAACCAAGCGTTGCCTAACGTTTTCTTGAGTGGGCTGCCGGATCAAGTGTCTAGAATGAACCCTGTGATATATGGAAGGAGCTCGAGCAAAAGTACGGGCTCGGGAATGCAGGAGGCGTAATCGAGCTGCGCCGCCAGTGGGAGCGTCTTCTCGCAGCGAGCTGGACTAATCTGGGGGCCCTATTCACCCAGCTAAAAAAGCTGCGTAGCGACATTAACAGGAATATGAGGGGTCTGGTAGGCAAGGACATGAGGACCGAGACCTGGCTGTGCATGGAAGTGTTGGCGTTACTACCTACCGAGCTTTGGAGAGGCACAATCATCATGACTGAAGAGTGGTTATCTATTGAAAACGTGGAGACGAGTCTTCGCCGCGCTTTCGGTGATCGCTCGAGGAAGGAAGCCACGATGCTGACTGATAAGAGACGCCCAGTGGTTGTCAATGCGGCAAGAAAGTTTACGGGAAAGAAAAGGAACCAAGGACAATCCTCTGAAGTGGCAGTAAGCGAGTGTTATTACTGCTTTGAAGATGGCCACTGGAAGAAGGCCTGCCCAGTGATGGTGGCTGACCGCAACCCGAAAAGGGCTGGAGACAAGCTGCTTCGCTCAAACATACGGGCGGCTCCTGTCACCGAAGCGAAGGGAGCGATGACGGTCAAGAAGGGGGGCAAGTGGACTACCAAGAGGGTGAAGGTGAACCAAGACGAAGAAAGAACCCCAGCTCAAGCTGCCAAGCTGGACCTCAATTTGAACAAGGCAATTGAGGATGCCGAAGAGCTTGAGTACAAGGGGAATGTTCCAGCGAGTGAAGGAAGCGAAGATGAGGCACCGATGCACTCAATGGAGATTGATGATGAGGTACAAGGGAGATACCCTGATTATCTTTCTAAATTGAGGGAGCTGAACCTGACTGATAATCTATGGGTGGTTATTACAGGAGCTGGACACGCTATAAGTTCGGATAGAAGGTGGTTCAGCCAGCTTGGCAAATGACGGACTCATATCTTTGAATATGGAAACGGAGGCACCTCGTCAACCAAGCTGCAAGGGATAGTGAGATTTAGTGTTCTCAAACTCAGAGGGTACTATAGTGATATCTCAATACAAAATGTTGCCTTTGACAAAGAGTGCGGTAGTAACTTGCTTAGTGCATATTATCTTGCCACACAAGGGTATCACCACATTCAGTCAAAAAGTGGGCAGTATTTGTACTTCCTTGATAGAAAAAACCGATTCATATCTGCTGCAGTTACAATATATGAGGTATACTATTTACCGAGTAGGAAACTTGATCATAATTCAAGAGTACTATCCGTCGATAGTACTTCTCGATCAAAGATCCAAAAGACGTTGAAGGAGTGGCACCTGAGGCTAGGTCATGTCGGTAAAGGCAGACTGATGAACATTCTGGCTGGCAGAGTAATCAGAGATGCACCCCAGTTATCTAGAAAGAGAATGGAGCTGGTATCATTTTCTGTCGTACATGTGTGCTGGCAAAATCACGGCGAATGTCTTATAGAAATATGGTGACAGATAAGGTACTGAGCCTTTGCACACATTGCATATGGACTCATTGGGAAAAATAAGACCACAGGGCCTCTATAATACTACTGGGCACAAGTATGCTCTAGCAATAGTACATGATGCCACTGCTTATAAATGGTATTTCGTTCTGAGGTCTCTGAAAAAGGTTGAGGTTATTGTTAGAGCCCTTAGTAAGCAGTTGGTGAAAGAATTCCCATACAAGGTAAAACGGATAAGGACCTACGAGGGTACAGAATTTGTCACCGAATTCATAAACGGGTACTGCGATAAAGTGGGATCGTGCTCCAAAAGTCAAATGTGGAGTCCAAAGAGGAAAATGGGTCTACTGAGCGAGCTCACCAGACAATAATGGGTAAAGTTAGATGCGCGTTAATAGGATCGGGTATGGCTGCTAAATGGTGGCCAGAGGCATTGATATATATGACAACAATAACTAATAGGATACCAACAGCCCGGCTTAATGGTAAAAGTCCATACGAGGCACTATTTTGCACCAAACCAACAGGAAATGAGCTTCACATATGGGGCAGTACGTGCTACGCCCATGTACCAAAATCTAAACGAGCCAATCCAAGCTTAGTGAGCGGGCGCTAGAGTGCAAACTGCTCGGGCTTTTTGAAGATTACAATCGGTATCGTCTACTCGATATTAAAGTAAATAGGTACATTAACGCTCGAGATGTAAAATTTGGGGTGACATTTACTGAGGGACTGATTTCACGATCGTTTCCATCCGGGAAAATTGAGGGGAATGAGGAAATGGCCCTAGAAGTAGAAGAAAAGGGGAAAAGAAAACGAGAAACGGGGCTGGACGTGTCTAACAAGCGACCAAAATCTAATTCTGAGCCGGAAAAGTGTGCACCGGATACTGAAACAGTGGAAGTAAAGAAACAGCGAGCTTCTGTGCCACCTATACCTCGCAGTCGTAGGAAACGGACACCAAATTCTCGTTTAAAGGATTATATCGTATCAATCAATGCTGATACAATTAGCACAAAAGGGATACCAATTTCACGATCAATAAAAGAAGCGAGACGAGGCCCACACGCTCAGCAGTGGGAGACTGCGCTGCAAGCTATATTTCAGGCACTAGTTGCAAATAGTACTTGGGAAATAGTACCATTGCCAAAAGGAAGGAAAATACTAGGTTGTCACTGGGTATTTGACGTGAAGTTTAACTCAGATGGAACAGCTGACAGATTTAGGCAATATTGGTTGTTAGAGGAAACACACAAACCCACGGTGTTGATTATAATGAGATATTTTCACCGGTGGCGCGGTATGAGTCGTTAAGTTTACTACAACTATAAGGACCTTCATGTCCATCAAATGGATGTGTCAACGGTCTTCCTAAACGGATCGCTGTTTGAGGATATATACATGCAACAACCTCAAGGGCTTAGGCATGGGGATGCGTCCAGTCTGTGCAAACTTAAGCAAAGCCTATATGGACTCAAACAAGCATCTCGCATCTGGTATGCACTCTTCGAATAGTTCCTGGTAAGCCTAGGGTTTTGTCGGTGCAAAAAGGAGTACTGTTTGTACCGTCAAAAGTGGGACGTAAAAGGAGTAACGCATATAGTACTTGTCTGCGTCTACGTGGATGATATTACTATCGCATCTAGTAGTATGACATTGATGCAAAAGGTGAAGGGCCAACTGGCTTCGAGATTTACTATGAAGGACCTAGGTGATATCCATTATCTACTGAAGATGGAGATTAAGAGGGAAAGGGCAAATATGATTCTGAGTATATCCCAACACAAGTATATTATGGACTTACTACAAAAGTTCTATATGACTGATTGTAACTCAGAACCAGCACCACAGGCAATAAGTATAGTACTTGAAAAAGAGGAAGAATTAAGTCCAGAGGAAATCTCAGCACCACCAGTCGAATACAGAGGTTTAGTGGGGTCACTGATGTTTTTTGTACGTGGTACACGCCCAGATATAGCATATGGTATCAGAGAATTAAGTAAATTTCTGTCATGCTATAATAAGAGCCTTTATAAGGCAGCCCATAGAGTACTAAAGTATCTGAAAGGGACGTCGACGTACGGACTCGTATTTGACGGGAAAATTAAGGAAGTGATATATGAGCTGTACACAGACGCGAGCTTTGCGAATGCTAATGAAAACCGAAAGTCAGTAACTGGGTATGTGAGTATTATGGCAGACGCGTGTATTACTTGGAAAAGTTCAAGACAAAGTACTGTGAGCCTCCATACAGCGCAGGCTGAATTAATAGCCGCGAGTGAAGGTATTAAGGAAAGCAAACGGTTATGGGTACTATTAGAGGAATTGGGATTAAGGCAAACACAGCCGATCATGTGTCATTGTGAAAATAAGGGGGCAATAAGTATTATAAAGGATTCAGCAAATCATACATCGACAAAACACATTGATATCAAAGGACTGTATGCTCGAGAGATTCATGATAAGGGAAGAATAGTAGTTTCATACTGCAACACAAATGATATGATTGCAGATGCCCTCACAAAGGCACTGCCTCAAACTCAATTTGAGAAACTCAGAAGTCTCATGGGGGTAAAGAACCTATGCCTCCCCTTACCACAATAGGTGTGGGGTATTTGAACTTTCTGGCACCATGTATCACAAGATACAGTGAAGTTGAAGAGCCACCATGTGGCATATCCAAGCGCCCGGCGCAAGTTGAAGTTCAAAGATAACTTCTCAGTTGGAAGGGCGAAAGATACTCTTAAGTTGAAGTGCACCAAGGAAAATACTCATGCGGTTACAGCAAAAACAATAAGACGTAACGTTATGATATTGGTTAGCTCTCAGACGTTCACATGTCAATGGTTATGGACTATACTACGACAAAACACGATAAACGTGTGGAAATCAAGTAAGGGCCACCGTTGACCGCATCTAGGAAGGGAGAGGCCAGCCCCAGCCATGCTTAATTGGAACTAATGCCGAAGAGCTCCCCAGTCTCTGGAAGTGGTGGTATCACAGACCGCAGCCTGGACGTTTTGCTTGACTGTCGTAGCCCCCCCCCGGAGGTTTAATAGCGGCCAATGGCGCTAAGTCGGACCGTGAATGCTGAACGCAAATTTGAGAGTGGTTGGATTGAAGGAAATTGGTTCCAGCAAAGACAAAAAAGGTAGAGGTGCAATATAGAGGCAGAAACCATAGGAAAATCGGAAAAGGAAAATTGGTTGGGGCACAAATTTTGAAAATAAGGGAATAGGTATAAATAATGGAGCGTCACAAAGCTCGGGTGTCGCAAAATTTAGGGGCCATCTTTTTTGGATCTCCGGATGTGTGAAAAGTCTCGACAACGACAGGTCACATGAAATCTCTAAAAGATCGCAGCTTGATTTAGGATAAAGTAGATCGTATGTGATCAAAACAGGATAGGAAAGCGTGTGTTCACTATTAGGAAATCCAGAAGTAGCCCAAAAGTACAAAATGTCGTATGGTATTTCTGCTGGACAAGTCGCAATGAAATAAAGAATAAGGCGAGTCATATGAGACCACAGAAGCGATAAGGAGGATGTGCTTGAACTTTTAGTGAGAGTGTTAGAATGCACTTTAATTGGCCAAATAT